TCCTTGCGATTTTATAAAACACTCTTGATCGCGCACTGTTATAGTTATTTTAAAATTAACCATGTACCTATGGTGTTCTTGTAAACAAGCGTTCCCAATGTAAGGGAAATAACTAGAGATGGTAAAAATGCAAATGTATCAAATCTTTTTCAAATACATTTTAAATTTCTACTCAACATATATTTTGTTCACTGTCGGTTGGTTGCTTTTGATATCCCAGTTACTTTAAGTTTTGTCTTAGCAATTCATCCCTGAAGATGATCTCGGATGATAGTACTTGGGAAAGCATAAAAAACAACAACATCAAGAAATTGCTTAGAGAATTAGAAAGGATCATTATAAAAATAAATAGAAACAATATGCCCAGATTATTCAAGGAAACACATTGGATTGAAAGTACACAATTTATAAAATAAGTAAAATTTTGCAGAAATTGTCAAAACACGGTCAGCACATTGTGTCCGTATTCATAGTTGATATTATTGATTGTCGGCTTTCTTTTTAAATAAAACATTTCTATACCTCTAGATAGATATATAAAACAATCCATGCATTCAGTTAAAAGTAAAAATAAAATTATTCTTGATAATGGCTAAATTATAGCTGAAACCGCTCGGACATACAAAACATTTTAACAATTTCTACATAATTTACATCGAGAAAAGAACATTATAAGAACACAAGAAAAATGAAAGAAAACCTTAACCGCAGTACCTTGTCAGTAGTTTTTAATGAAATTTGTACATATATATGTTTCAAGCAGGACACATTAAATTCCAGCCGGGGTCAATAAACGCTACGACTAATCTTCAAAATAACACAGAAACACATCTTAAACAGTAAAAACATGACGAGAAATTAACAGCGCCTAAAAAAAAACAAAAAAACGCCCTTGATAATGGCTACAGCGCTTGGGATAATGGACAATACGAACAATTTTTACACTCCCACGAAAAATAAAAATTGTACGGATTCTAGAAAAAATTAAATAAAAAATTAATTAAATTTTCTTTGTCTGTCATCTTCAACGAAACATGTTTAAAAGAAATGTTGCTGCCCAAATGTACATTAATATATATATATATATATATATATATATATATATATATATATATATATATATATATATATATGTGTGTGTGTGTGTGTATGTTTATGTATGTGTATGTATGTGTGTGTGTGTGTGTGTGTGTGTGTGTTGTGTGTGATTTGATGCAAAAAAACTGCTAGTTCTTCACGTTTCTATGTAGACGCCATCAACATATTTTTCTTTTTTGGGGGGCAAAAACAAGATTGTTCGCTCAAAAGTTGAAACACTTTGTCTAAAACTTTACTAACTGAATCTGATTTTGCCAGACAACTAAGCTATTGATTGATTATTGATTATGACTTTCTATACAGATGTCTGTGTATCGAACACTGGTTACTCTCAGCTGCCCCCATCTCCATCGACAGTCTATATCCTATTTTGAAGGCCGCGGTCCGTTTGGTTTTGTATCAAAGACTTATATCGATCGATTCACCCACACCCACCCCTACGCTCTAACGGATTTTCAGTAACTGTCCTTAGATTCTGATTGTATCCAAACACGAAGACTGGTGGGGTGGCTTTGTAGGTGGTGGTGATGGTTATTGTTAAAGTCGACATGCAGAGAAAAAAACTCCCTCCTCACAAACCAGTGCGTAGATAAAATGTGAGGTGAGTAAATGAAAATGCATTTTGATGGCGGGTAAAAATTTTGTTTGAGAGATGACGTAAAGCAAAGCTACGTCCATCCACAAAAAAAAAAAAAAAGAATAAATTTTACCCAATTTCCAAAAAATAACGTTTGCACAACAAACTTAACATAAAAGGATGTGTCAATAATTCTACAGTGTACATAGGTAAAATAATTTCTTACACTCGTCACTTCCCGTAAGTAAAACCAACTATAATTCTAGATTTTCATTTATAAAGGTTTTCGTCATTTCGAAGGGAAGTCTACCATTCGTCCATGTTTACAATGTAAATGCCACACATGTCTCTTCGCTCCTGCTTTATATTTAGAGATTCTTGATAAAATCCAAAGAAGAATCAGCAATATTATTAATCCTGACCTGCCATCTCGGCTTCAGTCACTTTCCTACCGCCGTAAACTTGCTTACCTCTGCCTTTTCTATAAATACTTTCATGTTAAATGTATGGATGTGCTCTTCGCTAGGGTTTTTAGATTTGTTGTTTTATTCCCCTCCCCCCCCCACAGACCACGAATTGTAAATATGGGGATTTTCATAGAGTCAAAGAGGTATTATGGTGGTTGTAGTAAGAAAGGTACGAATGAATGTGTTGTTTTGGTGAAAGGAATATTGTTTCGTACGATTGGGTCAGTGTTTGCGGCTAATAAGTTATAGTTAAGACTGAAGAAGACCGTCCTTTCCCCAATCCCCTTTTCGGCCTTGTGCCACATTTCTGTATATAACAGAATAAATATTGCTCTTCGCTAGGGTACCTAGACATGATGAGTTTAATCGAAGCACAAGATTTGCAGCATTTCCTATTTGAATTGGCTCAACGTAACCGTAAGTTATTTGCTAACAGGTTTTCTTTTTCTTTTCTCGCACTTCTCGCTAGTGGAACTCTCTTCCGGTTTCTTGCCCTCCAGTCAACTTTGATCTTCAAAACTTTAAATTCAATGTCAATCGTTATCTACTGTCTTCCTGATTACTCTTCTATTGTTCTCGCTCCTTAATAATTTATGTCTTTTTAATTATTTTTCACACTCAGTACTCTCGTATATCTTAGAGACTTTACTGTCTTGCTTGAGGTGAAATGATTAAAAAAGAATAAAAAAACGTACACTATCATTTCCCTCAATTTTACTCTGAAAAACGGAAAATGGAATCAATTCTTCTTTTATGTGCTGTTTCCATCCAGAACAGTGATGATCATGGCTCTCGACAACCTCTTTTTTGTTATCTCTCCCAAATTTTGCTCCGCCATCCATTAACTAAATCTCGCTAGATAGATTATGCGTTGTTTTCCTCAGTTGCTCTCAATCTGCCTTGTGTGTATCAAATTTTACAAGCCCTCTTTCCTCATTATGTGCCTTAGAAATTTCAATTGCCTCTTCCTGATGTTACGTTTTAGTGTTCTTTTTGCTTCCATTTTCTCTAAAATCTTGATATTCTCAGCATCCTTCTGTAGAACCACATTTCTCTAAAAACGTCCTCTCTCTCTCTCTCTCTCTCTCTCAAAAAAAAAAAATATATATATATATAATTACCGTTGACTAGAATAAGGTTAAATGGTGAATTTGAAGTCGGAAGATTTTCTTTTCTAGTAAATTTTCACACAATACATTGCCTAAAATTCCCTTATTGATTAAGATTGCTGTGTGAAGATAAGGCGAGATTAGAAGGATATATGCGATAAACAACGATTGACCTTAGAATTAGAAGGTGCATGAGGATGAATCGACTCTGTGTACGCGGCTTTTGGTGGGTCATAGATGCAAACGCCTGAACTGGTTGAACTAAAGGATATTTGTCATGGAAATAGCGATAGAGTAGAGACAGACATGCAATGTTTCATCTGTGGAAAAGACGTCGTGGTTCGGAAATTCATTCATCACCCACAAGACCACGTAAGCACTTTTGAAATCTTTTTGAACGTTGTACAGTCAGATTGGGCAGCTTCAACCAAGATATGGCTGCAATACACTACTTTTGATCTCCTCTGGATCTTGTAAAGATAGAAGAGGAGTCGATTAATTCCTGGAATCGTACAAGGAACCGACTGTATTTTTTCATTTTTAGGCGATGGATCGTATACGAATTCTACTTGGGGTCTGGAGAAACTGTGTTCTAATCGGTGTTCAAGGTAAGAAATCTCATTTTGAGTACAACCATTCATCATCACTTGAGAAAATGTAGTTCTTACTCGCCAATTATGAAATGATACAAGCTTTGGTTTTAGAGTTTTAGGTTGCTTTTATGTGACATTCAACAACGAAATCCAGTATCTGTCTCTATTTCTGAGACGAGGAATTACATTATTTACATTGTTCGAACTGTTGTCCCCATCTTTGTTGACATATTCACAACGGTTCGGCTATTGTACACTCCAGCTTTCCTGTAGTGATTAGAGTTTCGAACTGAACCCTTTATTTCGTTCACCGGGATAGATTGTTCTAGTTTCACGTGCCATGCCTCTTCCAAATCTCTCAGTTATCTCCCTTTAACTCAACTCTCCAAGTCAGGTATTGAACACACAACTCTTTGGGTAAAATCATTGGATTCAATCAATAGACAGAGAACATCACTGGAAAATACGAAAACTTAAGGAATCAGCACATATGCTAGGCTACAAAAATCTTCTAAGCTGGCCAAGCATAGACATGAATACAATATAGGAACTAGTAATACAGAGTGATAGACAAATGTAATAACAACAACAAAATTGCAATATGAGGTCTGGTAAAAAAAATTGTTACTGAGACATTATGTTTATAAGTCCCCAAAATCCATACATTTGGCCATGTCTCTTCAAGGACCCATGCCACACTGGACAAAAGTGTTGGTTGGATCCAGTGAATTGATCCAAAGAGTTTTGAGTTCAATACCTCGCTACAGTAGTGGTGAACAAAAACTTGGACAGTTGAGTTGAAGGGAGATAACTGAGACATCTGGAAGAGGCATGGCGCGTGGAACTAGAACAATCGATCCTGATCGACAAAATAAAGGGTTCACTTCAAAATTCCAATCACCTGAGACGTCGTGCACATTGCAATAAGGATACGGACAGCAATCTGAACAAATGTAAATAATGTAAACGAAATGCAAGCATTTTATCCCCGGTCGAACCCTGACTTCTGCCTCCTAGAGAAAACGTGCAACTATTTCTACGACCAGGGGAAGCGGGTAAATATTTGCACGTGCATAGGAATAGAAGCCGAACTTCTGTCTTGTTCTAATATATCGTGACTTCAATCGAATGAATAAACATTGCTCGGGGCGCTTTGATGGCTGGGCGCTGTGAGACCTGCTTCAACTCATATTTTGCACGCATATCATTTGCAATTTGTCTGCAATCGAATCTTGCATGTTGTGAATGTCTCCGATTTAAGGTTGAATATCGGCCAATTTTTCCCCCGATAGCGATAAATGAGTAAACCCTGTTCAAGCAGAAAGAAGAAGACATTATAAAAGATATTGAGAGATTGGAACCGAATATCTGGAATTAGTCTTTCTCAATTTCACTCGCTTTCATAATCTCTTTCTTTTTCTCACTCACTCTCTCTCTCTCTCTCTTTCCATCTTCTCATTGTTTTCCTTTCGTTCATATAGACTTTATTTCCTTTTCTTTTTTGTCTTCATACAACTTTTTTCTCTTTCTTTTTGTGTTCCCTTTGCTTGATCACTCCCTATCAGTATCCAGACCCCCTCCTACATTCAATCTCCTCTGCTCTCGCTAAGAACTCAAGACATCTCTTTCTCTATTTTTACATATTATTTTTTTTCAACTATTTCTAGTTAACGATTTACATTTTTTATTGTGATTTTTCTATTTTTCAAATATTTATCTATCTCATTTTATTTAATTCTATCTATCTATCTATCTATCTATCTATCTATCTATCTATCTATCTATCTATCTCAGTCTGTTCATATCTATCTATCTATCTATCTATCTCAGTCTGTTCTATCTATCTCATGTATCATATCTATCTATCTATCTATCTATCTATCTATCTATCTATCTATCTCAGTCTGTTCATATCTATCTATCTCAGTCTGTTCATATCTATCTATCTATCTATCTATCTATCCGAATTTGTTTTTGTCGAATCCATTACATTTACTTACGTGCTAATACCCTTGGGAAAGTTATGAATCCTCTTCTTCTCCCTGCAGCTATGAGTAAATAGCAGGACAGACCGGGTTCTATGGCCTTGGATACCAACTGGTCTATCGCAGAAAGAAATGGCAGCCTACTAAATATTAGGCCTCGGCAGTCATGTATCAAAAGATACATGATCGTCAAAGCATGTATCACGCATGGCAAATAACTGAATGACTGTTTTTTATTATTTCATTATTTTTTGCACCTCAAATCATTTTTGTTTAATCTTGGATGCAGTGAATTTTAAGAGTAAAAGATTTAAACTTTCGGACATGAATGTTTAAGGTACACCTGGAATTTATTTTTCAACTTTCAAATATCTGAGATACGGAATTTTAAATGATCAAATCTTGTCCCTTTTCCTTTGTTAAAAAAAATGGATTCATTATATTTTTTTCATTGCATAAGCAAGATTCATTTTCCAGATCCTATGAAATTTTTCATTTTCCAGATCCTATGAAATACCTTACGGGCAGTTAAAACCAAATGATGTCTAATTACATATATACCCAACCTTGTGATTGATAAATAAAACTCCCATTTTCAAAGTTTACATTGATTGGTGTCTTAGACAATAATTATTTCCCACTGGAATCAGAGAATGTGGTTCGAGTTCAGCTTAAAGTGAGAATTGCAGATTTCCGATGTAGAAAAGATTTCTTTCTTTTTAGGGATGATGGGTCACCCTACTACAGCGCTTTTCTATCATTTATAAAGCAAATAACGAGAATAGCCTACATCCGTTTATTAAATAAAGTGCTTGGTTCGAAATTCTATGACGGTTTCCCGACAAGAACCTGATGCAAGCCGAAGGGCACAACATTCGAAACACTGTGATAATAGCAACAAAGATGAGGACAATAGTCTGTATGTAAATAATGTAACTAGTTATAACATCTGATCATCTCACACATTGAGACACAAATTAATATTATTACAATAATTAAGAGACGGTCATTAAAAAAAAATCTGTCATCAGAATATCGTTTAATAATATAATCCAACTCAAAGGAAGTTATGAATTAGGCATCAAGAGTTGCTGAAAAGTTATCAGCTTGACTAATAGAGTCCAATGAAGTGATGGGGTATCCATTAAAGTGTAACACAAGTCTTGAATCATCAATACTTAACATTTTATTAACTTCAATATTTCGTCAGTTACTCAAAGCCAGTGTAGGTATAAAGCGCCTCCTTGAAAAGTGATATGTGAACTTTACTTTTCCCAATTGCTCCAATTGATTGTTTACACTATTTACATTGTTTGGACTGTTGTCCTCAGCTTTATTATCACATTCACGATGTTTCGGCCGTTGTACGCTCTGGTATTCTTTACGTGATATGCGTTGGAATTTTAAACCGAAACTTTTATTTTCTCCACCGGGTTAGATTGTTCTAGTTCCCCGTGCCAAGCCTTTTCTGGATATCTCACTTTCAGTTAATTCCCTTTACTAACTCAACTCACCAAGTTTTTGTTCCCTCTGCTGTGGCCAGGTATTGAACTCACAACCCTTTGGGTCAAGTGACTAGATTACCTCAACCGACGATTTCATCCACTGAAATATAGACAGATAGTGATTGTTAATCTATTCGTGTATAACATACTCATTCTCACGTTTGCAATAAGGTATATAGGTGTGAAATGTCGAAGTTCTGTATTCGGCAGACGGAAGTAATTCCAGGTCAACCATGCAACTGGGCCCATTTGACGGTCTGGCGTGAAATTTGAGTGTAATTTTAATTACCTATTCCGACATAGGATGACTGCCCGAAACCCAGGAGATTGAAGAGTAAGCGTTCTCAAAGCAAATTTGTGGCTTTCACCACACAAAGAAAGAAAATCACTTGTAACACGTCAGGAAAATAACTCACGAACGCCGTAGCCAAAACTGCCCGAATTTTCCTCGGGATATGGAGTCAGCCATCCGTTATCCAGCCACACCTGCAATTCGCGCTGGTATTCTTCCTTGACGCGTTCGGGCACCGAATATTCTGACACTCGGTTCTGGAGCTTTTCTGGTGGGTTATTTTCCGACCATTTCCAAAATGCTGTCCATGTCTTCGTCCTTTGGTCGAACTCTGCGCTAAAGTCGGGCTCGTTGATCTTTAAAAGTAGCACAGATGGGCGGATCAGAAAACTTGACTTCGCCTGCCTCTGTAATGCGTACGCCGCCCAGCTCCTTAATAATGTCCATCCCAAGGAGCAGATCGAAACCTAATAACGCGCTGTCCACGACCAACACACTGACTGTGACAGGGTCACCGTTGTTAATACTAAGTTTGATGTTTCCAACTCCCCGGCTTCTGAGAGCCTTTCCATCAGCCGTTAGTACGTCCATCTTTTGTCTGCTCCACTGTCGGCAAATCGAACCGGTGGTGAGTGACCGAGAGCAGCCCGAATCTATTAAAGCGGTACGCGTTATTCCATTGATGCGTACCTTAATCACAAGGAGCGCCACTTTCATGCTCGGGTGCGGGGAAGAGACCGGCGCTGACGTCGCGTCCCCCATTCCATTTTCTGGGCACTTAGAGGCAATATGACCTACTTTCTGACATTGAAAGCATCGTAGATCGAGACGTGCCTTTTGCGCCGACCCGCTGCGCATTTCTTCGCGTTGATAGCGGCAGTCTCTGGCAAAATGATTCGGCCCAGAGCACCGATAGCAGGTGGCAACGCCATGGTGACGAATGGCTGGGGTCGGACCTTCTTTGACTTCAATTGGTTGAATAACTGCGGCCACTGGTTCATCAGCCTCTTTTTCGTCGATCATGACAGCACGGGCTCTGGTCAACAATTGATTGAGCGTCAGGTCTTCCATTCTGGATGATGCGCGGAGTATCTGCTTAACATGACTGGGCAATCCAGAAACGAAGGCACATGTCATCCATTCTTCAGGAAGCGGTGCGATTGGAACGGCGAGCTTCTTTAATTCTGCCAAATATACGTCTACTGTCTCGCCAGGTCGCAGACGCCGTGCCTGGAACTGGTCGTAGGCCACGAACCGGTCAGTTCCAAACGCGGTTAGTAGAGCGTGCTTTATTTGCTCAATGTCGCTTTTCTGTTCTTTACTCAGCTGCCTATACACAGCAAGGGCACCGCCATTCAATCGCAGAGGAAGAATCCGATCAATCTTCGATATCTCGCATAATTCGCAAACCAGTTCCACCTTTTCGATCCATTCAACCACAGACTGTCCACTAGTATCACCACTGAATTCGGGGATCAGTTTTATATCGAACGGTCTTTCCGCCATCTTGCGAGAGACAAAGTAAATGCCGAAATAGCTTGAAGAGTAAGCGTTCTCAAAGCAAATTTGTGGCTTTCACCACACAAAGAAAGAAAATCACTTGTAACAGAGATCTACACATCATACATATTAACCCCGAAGTTCGACACACTTGATACTTATTTCTTATAATTTCTCAACAATTCCAACATATTCTGGTTGCTTAACCATTCCGCTACAATCAACTTTGATTCATTCGAAAACAGTGCCTTTTGATTTGCAGATCATAGTAATGTAACACTAATTAACAAATAACAAATTATTTAAAAACTTATCACTACTTGATATGGTTTCACGTTAGAATATGTTTTAGTAGTCAATTTCTTGTGCATTCATGCATACCCAGCTGAAAAGTAATGTCTCAGCAATGCTTTTGGCAAGGATTCATCGATCGGACAAAATTACGCCATGAACAGAATCAGCAATTTTTGTTGATGGCATCCGTTGGAAGTCTTTTGAGACCGGATCTTAACTTGGGTCTCAAAATACTGGAAATTGGCATACATATATCTGATAATTTAAATTTTATCCCTTGTAGACTTTATACTTGTCTCGTATTATGCTTATATATCTGAATGTTCATCTCTATCTTTCTGAATGAATACGCGATATTTGAAAAGCTCGAAGTCGTTACACTCAACTAAGACCACAGAAGAAATATATATATCTATACACACATCAAGTCAAAAATGTCCCAGAAAGTGGAAATATGGGCAGCTGGATTTAGGAGATGAAAGGATGACCCAAAGTTTGGACGTCCTGCAACTGTCATCACCGAGGAAAACAATGATCGTTTTCTCCACATGCTGATGGATGACAGGCGATTGACTATAAACCAAATAGTCAATGCTATTAGAATATCCGGTGAGAGAATATTCTGCACAATGAACTAGGCAGGACAAAACTTTCTGCTCGGTGTGTGCCACGTCTTCTGACATCTGATCAAAAGCGTACCAGGCTGATCCCATCACGGGAAAATCAAACATTGTTTGAGGCAGATCCAGTTGGTTTTCTAACCCAGAATGAGTACTGGGTTTGTAAAATCACCCCCTACTCATCAGCTCCAAAGAAAGCCAAGGTCGTTTCATATGCAGGGAAGCTGATGATATATATGTATATATTCGCCATTGCTGGTGATAATGGCGAGCCCATTGCTAAGCCCTCGTCCTGTCGATATATGTATGATCCCATTCTGAAGTGTGTTGTTTTGTGTACAGAAAGTCAAGATCTCCATCAGATTATCTATTGGAATACTGGTCCGTTCTTTTAGGAATGAGTCAGAGGCCAATCTTCCTCTGGCTAGTAAGAGTTCCTCCTCCGTGGGTACCTTGGTGAACAAACTGACCACATCCAAGCTCACAATCTGGTTGGATAGGATATGGCATCTTTGAATATTTCCACGAACTGGGCGGAGTTTCGGACATATGAAGGTGACTTTCCGATCAATGGGTCAATTGTATCTATAAAGAAGACACTCAGAGGGTGGTACACAGAGCCTTGTCAACTAACAATCGGCCTGAGCAGAATACCGTCTTTGTGATTCTTAGGGAGACCGTATACGTGAGGTATCTTGGTGTAACGCAGCGACAACTGCCAGTACGTCTTAGGTGCGAAGTGATCCTTGTTCTTGATTAGTATCTGTGACAGTTTGCGTTCCGTTTTCGACATCATTGCCAGCATCGAGGAGGTGGCCTTGAACTTCTCTCAGACTCAGGCAGATAAACTAAGATGAAAGGTGAGACAGACCTTGGAAAAGGCCAAGCCGCCCAAGTCAAACATCACGAAACTGCAGAGGCTGGCGATCGGATCCCTACAGAGGAACGACAACCGGCTGACAAAGGCAATGCAACTGTAGTGATGGACAAATCAGATTATACAAGAAAGCTGGAAGACCTCATTAGAAATGGTAGCTACAGCAAAGTAAAAAAAGGAGCGTACAATAAAAACGGAACGCAAACTAGTAGTAGAGGAAATTGGTATTCAAGGGAAAAAGGAAAATAAAAAAAGAAAGAACCAAGGGAATTTTGGAATAACTTATTTTATAGTAAATTGGTAAGAAGATGAACCAGAAATAATGCTTTTAATTTAATTATATAATTGAATTTGAAGTTTTTAGTTTCTGTTTTTGAAACATGGTAATTCCTGTGTAGCGATGAAACCTTATTTTTAAATTAGTTAATTTATAATATATATATATATATATATATATATATATATATATATATGAGTCTGTTAATATCTATCAATATATATATATATATATATATATATATATATATATATATATATATAATCATTCTGTTAATGTCAGTCTGTCTATCTATCTATCAATGAGGATTTTCTTTGTCTGCATAAAATCAATCAATTGGTATGACGAAAAGAAGTAGTTTTTTTTAACAGATTCGTTTTTTTAATTCATATTCAGACCTTTCATTTAAAATCCCAAACAATCTTATTTGTTGATTGTTGAAAAGAAAAGCCAAGCCATCTTCATTGTTGCACTATTTAAAACAGTCAACTCGTATCACGAAATAGAATCTGTTTCAGGTCATCAATAGTTCGATTATTTTTAAGCGCTTGCTTGTCACGAGTTATGAATAAAAATCCGAAATCGATTTTTAATCAATAGCAGTGAAGCTGAATAAATAGAACACTGATCATGTTAAGTAGAAGGTTCACTTCAACTAGGTGAGATAAACATCTGATTGTAAAGTAAGAAATTATAGAATTTTAGTACATACGCTCTCTATTGACTTGGAAATAGTGTCATAAGAAACATGGAAAGATTTTCAAAGTGACATTGATAAGGGGGTAAACGTAAAGTTGTACGACTACCGCCATTCTATTGCTATTTCTTCTGCAATGTTGCGAAATACTCCATTATTTAGCGCCACCAGCTCAGTCATTTTCCCTTTCTGTGCCCGCAGGGTTGAATCACCTTTATTCTCTATGCATTACATTGGCAAAAAGGTTCCACGTGGAAATATTCTTCACAAAAACCACTACTTTGTGGAACACACTCCCACTTGGATGTTTCCCTTTTGGGGGCGCATTAGAGTCTGATAAGTTCTGATATAGTCGACTTGGTGAGGGTAGTATGATGTTTGAAAGGCCCGAAAATGCCCAATAACCAAATTCAGAACATCACTAACGACGCCTTCTAACGCTAAAGAGCGTATTTTCAAAGTAATTGTATTCCTTTCGGAAGAAGATTCCACGCTGAAACATTATTCCCAAAAACCGCTACTCTGTGGAATACACACCCACTTGGATGTTTTCCTGAATACTAAAATATTACCTCTTCAATCAAGGGTCAGATATTATCTACACCCAATATCCTCGTAATTTCCACTTCTGCCTCTTACGCTCGTATCAAATAACTCATTCTGAGTGTCTCTCGAACCTTGGTCTTAAGGCCACAAACGTTGAGACACCGGTTCCTGTCAGATCAATAAAGTTAAGCGATGTCGAGCTTAGTCAGTACCTAGATGGGTAACAACTTGGGAATACCAGCTGCTGTAAGCTTGGATGTACGGGAGGGTGTAATGAAATCGGAGAGACGAGTTCCAATTTCAGCCGGGTTTATTATGTTCACTTACACGCAAATACACTTGGGGAAGGCATGAATCCACCCCTCCTGCTCCCATCTATAGGTTAAATCAGTATATCATTATTATCTAAAAATGTTGCAATCAAAAGTATTTTATGGCTTTAAATAACCTGTAAAAGTTTTATAAGCCGAAAAAGCAAATAATTCAATATATCTTAGATTCTTGTATTGGATAAACGTTACTAAAAGTTATGAAGAGATATAACTTTATTGTCGAATTATTTTGACTTTTGACTTCATGTTCTCTTGTTTCGTTTCAACCGATGCGCTTTTGAATGATTCTCGAAGAGAAAAATGTCTATGTCCAAGAGACTGCTGGTACTAATATTTTCATAATTGCTGCTACCATTATTATGTCTTGATCGTTTTGCTGAGATTGCAAATATTGTCTGAAGTATTCAATGTGGAATGATTATTCGAATTTGTTGCTAAATATGTTGTTCTCATCATCACATCTTGACAGGTGTGCTTTTGGTCAATCCTTAAATGTATATCGCTTTCTGATAATCTTAAAACATTTAAAAAAGATTAACAAAAACGACAGGTAGGTGAAAAGAGTACAGGGATCGAAATATGTTGTTTATAACAACAAGGTGTATAACGATTCTATTTTTAAAAAGATAATACAATTATAGTGGCGCGGAACTCAGGGGTTAAAATGACCAGTTGACTTAATCACGGCAAGAAGATTAATGAAGGATAGAAAATGGCAAGGAAACAAGGGTACTCTTAACAAAAAAAGATAAGGAATTTATTCAAGAATTTGCACGCTTAAAGGTGTATCGGTAATCCGTTCCAGAAAAAGAACTCAGACTTGTTAAAGTCTGTAGTTTTCATGAAGAGGAAATGTTTCATAATTTTTAAAGTCCGTAGTTTTAACATTGTTGCAGGGCGGGTTATGCGTTGACAGATAAACAGACGTGTCTCTTGAAATTCCCACAAGAAACATGGCGGACTCGGGATGTGTGTCCACGAGAAGAAGTGTAAAGAAATAACGAGAAGCGATATGTATGTACAAACAAACTTTTTATAATGCAAGGTTGCATTTCAAATGCCCAGACTTTAACTTGGTTAGGAACCAGCATTTAAGTAAATAAAAATAAAGACCAAATTAGCGTGAACCTTAACGAGGAATGATTTAATAGCATTATAGAAGAATGGGATTTTGGGGTTAAAGTGAACAGTTGATTTACTCACGTCAAGAAGATGAATGAAGGATGATAATGACTAGGAAACATGGGTACCCTTAGCAAATCAAGATAAGGCAATCATTCACGAATTTACACGCTTAAAGTTGTATCATTAACTCGTTTCAGAAAAATAACTTAGAATTCTGAAGTTTTAACGAATTTTCATGAAGAGGAAATGTTCTTACAATAAATTAAATGATCTGATAGAAAATAATAATTTTTTAAGACAAAAGTAAGAGAATTCGTTGTTCACAGAAAGTAAATACGTTTGTGTACGTTGAAAATTCGACGAAGAGAGATAGTTTAAAATATTTAGCTTTCTTGGACTGTTGACGGAAAATTCTTTGAAGGGTTACGTGCTTTTTAAAAGCCAGTAATGTAATTGGCGAGTAATTTTTCACTGGCAAAAAATTTAACGATGGACGCGGTGAACTGAAACGAAACCTTTCACATTACTTCAGACACTATTTAATTTATATTTTCTCCTCGTTTTATATCAAAAGGAATTCCGCATAGGCTGGCTACTTTCTATTTTCTCTTTGTTTTGGATCAAAGACTAATTTCTGTGACGACAATGTTTTTACTGGTTCAAAAGAATTTCACATAGACTCGTGAATTTATTTCCTTTTTCTTCTCAGTTCATCGATCAATTTCTGTAAATGCAAGGTTTTCATTGGTCCAAAGAAAATTTCCCATGGGAGCAGGATTTCCTATCCTTTTTTTCCCCTCAGTTCTCCGAATTTGAAGGGAGTGGGCAAAATCAGTCATTATTTTGCACTCAGTACACTCTCACTGCCCTGAAATAGTAGTTACCAATTATGGGTGGAGGAAGTAATAAATATAATACCACAAGATGATTGTAAATTTCTAATAACTGCCGGTTTATAAATGGATGCACCGCATCCTCTACAGGTGAAACATTAGCCATAAGAGAGTCAATCCTATACCTAATTATCATATATTGTAACAAGGGTTATAAATGAGTTATAAAGGAAGTTACGATATTACACCTCAGAATGTCCGTGCAAGTGTTTTCACGCCTTGAATATTTTGTTTTACCCATTTGTATTTGTGTTATGTATTATGCTTTATTTTTCATAATTTTGCAACACGGGTTTCGGTTATCTCGACCTTCTTCAGGCAAAGAATGGATATTTCCACATATTATTAAAATTAATTAATTTTCCTTATGTTTTTCGACGTTAAACTTTCAGTTTTTGTGTGGTAGCGACACAAATGTCTTTCTTGAACTGGCAGTGAGAATTTTTTTTCTACTTGAAGAGTAATAAAACAATTAAGATTGGTCCGGGAAAGGGTGAGGAAAGATATCTGTATACTTACCTTTTAATGAGCCCCTCCGTGTGTTTTTAGATCTATTTCCATTTTTTTTTTGTATTGTGTTTGATTTTGGTAGAAATTATTGAAATTTGGGTTATTTAATATCTTTTTGCTATAGATTTTTCTGTTTTAAAAATTAATATCAGACTTAATTTAATTGAAACGTCCTAAAATGTTTTACCGATTGGGAATTGGAAATCGGAGAACTGAGTTCGAATTCCAGTCAGGTTTTTTAGATTCACTTACGTACAGATGCCCTTGGGAAAGGTATAAAGCCACATCTTCTCCCCAAGATATAGGTTAATTAGTAGGAATTGTATCCGTAATTAATTATTATCTCAAAAAATTATTACAATATTTTCTGGCTGTAACCTGAAAAAGGTTGATAAGCCGTAAAAACAGAACAAATCCATCAAACCGAAAACGTTTACATGGCTATTTTATTGAGTTGTCTCGTATTTTCTTCTCTTATTCAGAACGCTACCAAAATGATGATAATTATATATGAAATTAACTCCAAGAGTTTAATATTTCTTATATAGAAAACGTGGTACCTGCAAGGAATAAGAAGTGGAGAGCCATGATCGCCTACATCCTGAAGGGACCTGACATATAAAAGAAGATGAGAAAATTCCATTTATAGCTTAGCAATTATTTGAAATTTACAATAAATTTTTTTCCGAAGAGTTTTACCAAGAATTGTATTACTTATAGCACGGAATAGTCGTTACTTTTGTATACGCAGTTCTTGTATTAAATGTAATAATTATTTTTGAACAACGTTGCATAATATTTATATGATCAATAAAACAAATTTCATTTCATTCCATTAATAATTTACGGCAAATTGAAAAAAAACTTTTCAATTTAAGACGTTCTTCTTTCAAGTATATATATATTTTTTTTTAATTTAAGCTGTCTCACAATGGAACTGGACGTTCAAGCAATAAAGAAACTACATTTGCCACGCAGTTCACTTTCAAAGATTGAAGGTTCAAATGGAGATTGCGAAAGTTTGGGCCACACCTTCAATCATCATCTTCAAATCTGTCCCTCAATGAATCGCTGCTAAGTCTACTTTCAATATAGTTATTAAACAGTCTACACTTTCTTCATGCATTGAATGCTGTTGCCACATTTGATCTGTTGCTTCTGCTAGGCACATACACATTATTGACTATATTTGAAATATTATCTCCAATATTATCAGTCCTAATCCGGCATCTTGAGTTCAATCTCTTTCTCATCTCCGTAGCTTCTCTTGTGACTTTTCTATTAACAATTTCATACAAATTGTTCTGATGAGCTACCTACATATTTCGAATTCATGAATTTATGCATCGTGCTAGATTGGCGGTTAGGTCTCTATATTTTGCTTTTGAAATTCCCAGATATAACAGTAAATTCTGTTTTAATAGTTTCTCTCTTACATTTTTCAACTCTGGTACTATCTTCCAGCTTGCTTTCATGTCAACTACGATCTCCAAAACTTTAAATGCAATGTCAATCGTTATTTTTTGTCTCCTTGCATCCTGTTCTTTTTATCGTCCATTCTCCTCAGCAACATTACCTCGGTTTCCTTCATTCTAAGTAACTCCTTCTGTCTTAGTGGTTTTATCGCCTTACTTGGAATGAAATTATTACAAAAGATAATAGTAACATCAATAGCACTGGCAGCATTCACGATGTAAGTTAAGTGACAGCAGATATCCTAAATATTCCAATACATTTGGGGAGATTCTGACTGTGGTCTGCTTTATTCCCATTCTTCCTTTATTTATTTTTCATGATCAGAACGATTTTAAGGTCTTCTAGTCTGTTCCGAATATTCCGATAACTACTGGTTATACTGCTACCTTATAATTAACTGACAAATTTGCACATACAGATCAAATGACTCGTGCTTGATATTGATGGTCGAGTGGCAGCCAAACATTTCAGATTTCCAGCATTCTTTTCAACAGTGTTTATTTTTTTCAAAGAAATCTTAACTCAACAGAGATCGAGGGATATGAATTCTTTTCAAAATTCCAACTCATTTCAAGAATTAGGTAACCTATTTTGTAAGTTAGGCAAATATCTATCTCATCCAACATCATTTTTAGTGTCATTGGCACAATATCAAACGATTTATTATAGGCAAGGGCAGAATATAATATCATTTCTACAAAGATTCTTCAGTTTTTGGGTGAGTTTCAGATGTTTTTTTTTCCTTTCGTTTCCTGTCATCGTCAACATCATCTGGCACATTTCTAGACACACTATCTGACAGACTTTTCGGTATCTTGTTTATAACTACCAGATCCAATGTTTATTTGGCTAGAAAAAATTGTTAAGTTTTAATGGCGAATTTCCAGATTATTTTCTATCTGACATTCTATAATGCAGTTTCTTCTTAGTAAACAAAGCAGCTGTAGACAGGATCGAACCCGTGTCTCTTGCACTGATCATTTACATTCAGATTAGTTTAAACATTATATTCAGTAGTTAAAAGTGTCTGAGTAGACATTCCGGTCCTTTTTTTAAATGTTTAGGTCTACCGGCTTGTGCATTTGAGAGTCTTACTAAAGAAAATGTGCTTCTGACAGGGTTCGAACTTGGGTCCCGATCGTCGGGAAAACCAACATTTAGCAAAATTTAGAACCGAAAAATGAACAAAAAAGAAAGAAAATATAAATAAATTCTACTACTAATAATAATGATAGTTTTAAATAATAAACAAATAAAATACGTAAACCAACATTAGGACTAGAAATAAGGTAAAATTTTTAGTCATAGTCCAACCCCCCCCCCAAAAAAAAAACTAGGAAGGACTGGTTTCTTTTTTCCTCTCGTCCTAATGAAGTAGTTGACTATATATACAGATTGCTAGAATAGTAGTGACACGTGGTCTGAAGATCGCTTTTAACATGCATTATTGATTTCAATGACTATACTCTATCTATCTATCTATCTATCTATCTATAAAAGGCACGAATACAAAAGCAAATGCATGTGTGTTTTCATACTTACAAAGCATGTGTGTACGTAGCAGTGAGTGTAGGTGTACGTATATGTATGTAAATTATGTAATGTTATTCTAACAAGATAATAGTTATTTTGAATTCGTGGCTTATATGCAAAACAAAAGAGATGAGAAAATATTTAAGTTAAATTCGATAATTGAATTCTCTATGATGACCCAAATTACATTATTTTTTCATTACGAAATTAGAGATTTTATGTTAAGCTTGACTGTTTTAGCGTTTGGGATTGTTTTGTTTTTTTTCATTATTGTTGTTATTATTATTTTATTTCCTTTGATTTCTGATGTGTACTCATTTCTTTCCGGGTCCCGCCCAGAGACCTAAGGTTAGAAATGGCATCATGACGTTTTACAAAGACAAAGCCCTTCGTAAGGTGTGGACTGTACTCGTGAGAACAATTTTTTGTATTTCTTTAAGGCATGAGCTTCCAGGTATCCCTTCAATGAGTCTACTGTCATCTTTTCCAACCAATCCGAGGGCTCCAACTATAACGGGGATTGTTGATGTTCCCATGTGCCATTATTATTATTATTGATTGAATATAAATTTTGCAACATGTTTTTTCCTTATCTCAAATTCATTGTCATTGCATGCAATCAACTGCTGAAACTTTATCAGGCCATCTAAAAAGTCCTTCAAAAATATTCTGCTCTTTGGACTTAAGGCCAAATTATGAAAAGTGACGGGATGGGTTGATAATGTTTAGTTTTTTTTATTACAGCTTCCTACTTGTATGATTTCATGATAAGCTATAATGCAACGAATTTGCAAAAAATTACAGAGTAAACTGGATACTGGCGGGGGGGCAGAGGGAAGGACCTTGTTGAGAACTGGAAGAGATAGAGGGAGGTGGAGAGCAATGATCGCCTACGTCATGAAAGGACATGGCATATTGTAGGTTAATGCACCTTTAAAATATTGTTAGCAAAGGGATTTTGCTATTTTATATCATTATCTTTACTAATCTACTTTTTGTATGAATGATTAATTGTAATAATATATATATATATATATATATATATATATATATATATATATATATATATATATATATATATATATGCATATTGCCTCAAGACAAGGTTTATGAGAGAAATTTAAAGGAAAATAGCAATAACACAGAGATTTAAAGAAATAAAAATTGTAACATGAAACAAAAGAATAAACTCCTTTATAAAGTGTGTTTCAATAACTTGGACCGATTTTAAATGTGAATTAAATTTAAGCCTCAAATGATTTTTTTTTCAGATTTGGGCGATATTATTTTTCACACATAACTGTCATGACTTAAATAACATGATTCCACAGAGAAGTAAATAAATTTTCACCAATAACACTGATTTAATTTCCTGCTGACTTTGATCCGTCTTAATGAAACACCCTTTATGAACCTATCATTCTTTTACGGCACTGCAGGCATTGATTTCTGCATTTCTATCAATGGGAATTATAGTGTTTCTTTCTTTTACCAGGACGTGTGTTTAAATACTGCCATATATAGATGTCATCTCGAATATCAAGATTGTTTCTTATAACCGGCAAAATATCTGCAGCCGGCGACACACCAGAATTGAAAACACCACAAGATATATATTTTGATATTTTTCATGTTTCTTCTTTATCAGATATTTTACCGAATCACAAAGAATTCGAGGTGCTTTCTCGAATATTGATGTGATGTTTCTAAGGTTATACAAATAAAAAATTCTGAAGAATCCAACGGAATTGCTTTGAAGATAGGGTGCAGAAGAAACATAACCCCATCTTGCCTTTCTTTTTGAAGAAAATTGCATTAGAGTTGACGCATCTATTTTGCCAAATCAGATTTTAAAAAATAGATGGGCGAGAAAAATAAACATTTTCACTTAAAATTCAATACTGTTAAATGAATCAATATGATTTTTAATTTCGAACAATCTAAACGAGGAATAAGAAGAATCCATCAGGGAAACGGGTTTTCTTTGTTGAAATAATTGTGGAAGCAATTATGAATGTTCTTTCTTTATTTCCTGGAGAAATTTTTTTAATATATTTTTGAATAAAAATTCAATATTTTTCTTCCAATTTTGGTAAATTATCACGAAATTGTTCCTTAAGAAATATATATGGATGGTTTCTTTCATGTACTGCTTTTTATTATTATTATTATTTATTTATTTTTATTTCTTTGATTTCTGGCGTGTACACATTTCTTTCAGGGTCCCGCCCAGAGACCTAAGGTTAGAAATAGCAGCATGACAATTTCCACTGACAATATATATATATATATATATATATATATATATATATATATATATATATTACATAAAGTGTATGCATGGACTTTCAGGAATCCCTCAAATTAGTTTACTGGAATCTTTTCCAACCAATCCTAGGGCTCCAACTACAACAGGAATTGTTGATGTTCCCATTTACCACATTTTTGAGATTTCTATTTCAAGTTCCTTGTATTTTGACAGCTTTTTGAATATCTTCAAAGATACATTGCAGTCTGCAGGGACTGCCATATAAATAAGGAAGCACTTTTTTGTTTGTGGTCTTTAATAACAATGTCTGGGCGGTTGGCTTTGATTGTTCTGTCAGTGTGCATTGTGTAGTCCCATAGAATTGTAACAGGTCCTATCTCCGTAACCGGGTCTGATTGCTGTTCATACCAGTTTCTTTCAGTTTCCGTCCCGTAGAAGTTGCATATTTTCCAATGCAGATATTGGCCCACTCTGTCATGTCGGGTTTTATATTCAGTGGGTGCCAATATCGTGCAACCTGATACAAGATGATCAATTGTTTCTGGATATTTATCACAGAATCTGCTCCATCCATTTGCTCCAACTTTTCAATTTGGGTTAACCTCGGCTTTCCCTTCCTTTTCTTGATTTGGGGTGGCTTGCGAGTCTTCTTCCTTCATGTGTTGCGTCTCTTCAGGATATTGCGTTTGTGGCTCTTCACAACTTTCTATCCCTTGTGGCCATTAGCAGTGTTTCTCCCTTTGTCTGACCTTCCACTCCCATTTCGCCATCCAATTACACTCGCTCGATGCATTTCCCTATCTTCACTTGCATTCAGTATGCCCCGTGAGGATCTAGTTCTCCAAGCCTTTCTACCTCATTCTGCCTTCAAGAAATTTCAGTTGTATTTTTCTGTATTAGTATCAATGGAATTCTTCGTAGCATTCTGTAGAACCACATTTCTGTTGGCTCCTCTTTTCTTCTCTCCATTGAAATGCTCGTCCAACATTCATTGCTATATAAGAGGAGGGTTATCATATAACAACCCCGGACTCTCTCCTTTGTTTCTAACGAAATTTTTCCAATTCTCAAAACTTTCTTTAGAGTGACTCTTCCGTTAATCCAATACGTGTTCGGATTTCGGTAGCGTATTTTCCATCGTCTGTTAAAACACATCGCAGATATTTAAACGTCTGTACTTCTTTGGGATAGACATTGCCAGTTTGTAACTTAACCCTGAGGCCTTTATGATTATCATATATTCAATCTTCTTGTAGTTGATGGTTAGTCATTTTATTTTCATAATATCATCTATCAAACTGGTCATGTGGTTTGCTTTCTGAGTTGGCTATCATTATTTTCTCGCTTTTTTCACGCTCTCTTTTTCTCTCTTCCTCTTCTCTCTCCCCCTTTCTTTCTCTCTCTTTCTTACTTTCTCTCTCTTTTTTCTTTCTCACTCCGTCTTCTCTCTCTTTTCACTCTCTCTTTTTCTCTCACTCTTTCTGTCTCTTTTCTCTCTGTATCTCTTTTTCTTTCTCTCTATCTTTGCTCTCTGTATCTTTTTTATCTCCCTCTTGTTCGTTCTCTTGTTTTATCCTCTGTCTTTTTCTTTCTCTGCGCCTTCTCTCTCCCTTTTTATTCTCATTTTTTTTCTTTCATTCTTTCTGTCTCTTTTCTCTCTCTCTCTTTCTCTCTCATCCTTTCTCTCTCTTTTCTCTCACTCTTTTCGCTCTCTTTTTTTAATTTCTAACAATATCTAAACGCCTCGTTAATCCATCCACTCAAGCAATAATAAAATATGATTAGCTATAACATTTCATGAATGAAAATTATACCCTGACTCGAACAACTTCAACGAAAAAAAAATGATTAAATGTTTAAAGGAAACAATACGAGAAGAGAATCAAGTTTTATCATTATTATTTTTTATTATTATCTAATAATCTTCATTTTATATTCTCGCATATAAAATCATGTAAACACAATAATAAAACAAAGCGGAAAAGCCTGTTCAGCTACACACCTTCCCCCTTCATAGTAGGCATCATCGGACCATCTATGTAAAGAACAAAAATATATGCTGTAGGTCTGTCCCTCATATCGCTAAAAAAAAGTGATATACCCTGGTGAAAAAAAGTCCTCAAATTGATAAAACAATTTTTACCGTGTAAATGTTTATGTTAGTATTAAAGAGGAAAGACCAAAGTATTTTCTGAATATTTTTTCAGATTTTTTAATCCTTCCTATAATTTTAAAAATTTTATTTAAAAATTTTGTTTTTTCTTGATTAAAAAAAACGTTGTAAATTCGGCTTTATCGGCCTTTTTGTCTGACTTTTTAAACAAAATCAAAATTAGTTAGTTTTAAAATCCTGTAAAATTCAGTTACACCTTTTTCTTTTGTTATTTTAGGAAAATTAGACAATTTAAAGTATACTTAATGTAATTTGAAAGAAACATTACTTACTTTTTTATCAGAAAATTTTTTAAGAGAGACATTTCCAACCGTGGTGCTTGCTTTTGCGCGTGTTTGAGAGGTGTTAACTGATGTACGTCAATATATCGACAACTTACGTCAGGGGAATTTATCGGACGGTAGGGCAGAAGTGATATATTTTGTTCTAGTTTTAAGTGAACCTGGTTAGTGTATAGAATACACTTCCAATTTTTTTTTTTTTTTTACCTTACTTTTGCTGTTTGAGGGAGAGGGATATTAACCATTTTTATTTTTGGAAAATCAGAAAGCCTAAATCATAATCAAACTATATATCAGGCATTAAAATTGAGTTTGAAAAGAAACAACTTACCTAGGGGGTCAAAATGCAAAAAAGTTCATTGGTAATTTCAATTATATGGCCGCAAGGGGGGGGTACCAAAAAATTGACACCCGGCCGTGGAAAACTTTAGTAAAAGGCGAAAGTTTTATCTGCAATTCCTAACCACCAAAAACCAGGACTGTCATTTTTTTCACAAAAAAAAAAAAAAAAAAAAAAATAGCAGCGATAAGAAAAAATTAAGCCAAATTGACTTTGATATATTTGGGTCAAAGGCCAGCCAGCTACGTTTTGGAAAAAAACACCACTCTCAGATAAGAACAAAGAGTGAAAAAAAGGTGGGGAGTGACAACACTGGGATCAACAATAATAATAGTTTGATGTGTTGTGTTTTGTTTTTTTAAGACCTGGGGTGATGACAGCAACACTTAGCAAATAACATTCTTTTTTTCACCGCATGTCTTTCATATGACAAAAATAAAACAAACGTTTTAAACAGCAGTATCAATTATGATAAAATATTTTTATGAGAATCAAAGCCATTGCGCTGTTTTCGTGCCTAAAATTGAATATAAAATAATAAAAAAGGAAATAATATTTGCAATTGGTCTCACACTGAAAGAAAAGGGAAAAATTTTTTATATTTGAAAATTGAAAAGAAAATTTTGAAGATGCGACGATATTCAGTCAGAAAACTTCACAAGCGTTGTTGTGTTGCTAACTGAACGAATGCAAAGCAATTTCTGAAAAACAACTTGCTACTATCAAGGGAAACTACTCACATGACATTATTTCAAAGCTGTGCCTCCATACTTTCGTTGGAGACGATTTTAAATACAACCTTGGAATATTAAAAAATTATTTTAAAAATATCAACGGTTGTCAGCTTTTAATAAGCTTCCAAATTTATGATCTTTAAAAAATCGAGAACATAATATGTCATTTCCATAAGGTTGAATAAAGAAACTTAATTTTAAAATATATAACAACATTTTGTCATAGTGAGTATTTAAAATAGAAAAAAAAGAAAAAAATTATTGTAAAAATTCATTTTTCATCCAAAATGTTTTTTCTTTCAGATAAAAATTACCTTAGTATATGTTATTCAGAAAAGTCATTAAAACCTTTTTTAATTAAATATTGTCTTAGTTTTATTGGGTTTTGTATTTTTACAATTGAGGTAAAAGTTTGGACAATTTTGCGCATTTTTTTACCAAAAAAAAAAAAAGTTTTCATAAAATTAAGTTCGAGGGGTGTAACATATATAAAAAAAATATTTTATTTATACCATGACTTTCAAAAAGACAAATATTTCTGAAATAATTTCATTCATTTTTGAATAAGTTCAGAAGGTTTCATTAAAATCCACCAAGTACTTGATTTTTGCAAGATTTTCCAAATCAATGTGTTTTTTCAACTGAAAACAGTGAAAAACAAGTAATGCTAATATTACCTAATTTTTGACCTAAAAAAAACAAGATTTTCAGCCTAAATTTAAAATATGCTGCAAATGAAAAAAATTTAAAAGTAATTAAACATATCTTGGTCTTTCCTCTTAATAATAACATAAACTTTTTCACGATAAACTTTTGTTTTTATTAAGTTTGGGGCCTTTTTACTTCATGCTATGCATTTTTGAGCGAAGAGACGGACAGAAGAGGCAAAGACAATCTTTATCAATCTCCACGGCTAATAGATTAGTAATTCTTGCACTGAAGTCTTTAACGACCGATGGATTTAAAATTCATCCCAGCTCAAAAAACATTATTCAGTATATAGAATTGACGGGGATTGCAGGAACACTCGAAATTTTGTGATTTCCTCAAAAAGTTAATGTGTTCACATATGTCAACTAAATAAAAACCATGCAAAATATACAAAAAGAATTTTTGTTATCTACTTCGTGAATAATGGATATTTTTTACTAATATATACTATACTATTTTTTACTAATTTACTATATATATATATATATATATATATATATATATATATATATATATATATATAGTTTCGGCCAGCATGGCTATCATCAGGAAGAAAAAAAAATTGGGTGAAAAAAAAATCCGCTTGTTAGTAGCAGTGAACTACAGAAGTGAATGACTGTTTCTGAAGAAAATTAACTTTATCTGTAGTTTTCATATGTTTTTTTATCGTTAATTTTGGCCGGTCCTTGTGTTGGTGAAACGGCCTCTTTCAATTTGTTTTTAAGGTTGAGGCTTGGGAAATTCGTGAGTCGAATAATTCCCTTCTTGGTCATTTTGACAGTTTTATTGATTGCTGGAAGGGGGATGTGTGTGTTAATTGTATATTATCTTTTAGTTCTTTGGGAGTGTGTATGATGTGTGTAAGTCTATTTATTGCTCTGAGTGTGTGCATAAGTGTGAGACCTCAACACCTCTCTCTCTCTCTCTCTCTCTCTATATATATATATATATATATATATATATATATATATACACTGCGTGCCAAATTATTATCGAGATAACTTTTTTCTAATATTTCACAAAACGTCCAATTAATTCACACACAATTTTCACAGAATGCTGGCAACACTGAGCTGCGTCATCACTGAAATTTTCGTACTGATCTGTGCAATGTAAACAAACTGTGAAAATTTTGTGTGAATTGATTGGACGGTTTTTGAAATATTAGAAAAAAGATATCTCGATAATAATTTGGCACGCAGTGTATATAGATAGATAGATAGTGTGTGTGTGCGAGAGAGAGAGAGAGAGAGAGAGAGCCACAAAAGTACCTCCTACATAACAGTAACACATTAGTGGTAATGCTATAATTCTATAAAAGCTTACCTTTTTGTGGTAGGTATTTCTGCCGCACCATATATATATATATATATATATATATATGTGTGTGTGTGTGTGTGTGTGCGTGCGTGTGCCTGTGTGAATTGCTATCTACTGTCCACCTGATTACTTGTTTCTGGAAAGTGGAAATAGCGAGTCAAGTTCAGGGTCCACCCTCACTCAGTTATATGCCCTGCGGGATACACGCTTAGGCGATCATCTTTCGATACATGACTGACGAGGCAGATTTTTTCTACCGCAGTAGCTTGCCATTTCTTTCTGCTATTCAGCTATGGCCGAGGAGCAGGATTCAAAGACGATTCGTACCTTTCCTAGCACACGTATTAGCACATAAATGAATGTAATAGATTCGACTGGAGTTCGAATTCGAACCCTACTCAGTGGAATTCACCCTTGCACATGATCTTCGGAAAGGCATGAACCTATTAATTTCTCTCTACTACCAAGTCAAATATCAGAAGCATGCTGTGCTCTTGTAAAAAGACAAGTCTTTCAGAACTGCGAAGAAAGCAAATGAAATCCCTCTAATCTTTTTTCAAAGAAATAATATTCAGTTCGCAGATACTGGTAAAACCACCGATTTTCTGCTACTATTGGTTCCAGAGCCGTGTCGGATTATCAGTTACCGGACCAAAGAAAGTCAAGTAATAATTATATAATAAAGCAATACTGACCTTAAATAATCTTTAATGTTTGACATGTTGATCAACTTCATTATGTGGCAATTTCTTGAGATTGTTTACTGCTTGCCAGAAATTAAGAGAAAGATATTTGGCTTGCTATGGTTTCAATCTTGTCAAGTGACATCATGGTTTAAACAAAAAGTTTAATTTATTTATAATATATTTTGGAAGTATACCAAAAATATTAAGCCCGAACCCCGGGGTTCTCCTCCCATCAGGCAGTATTTCTCCTTCGTGTGAAGGCTGGGTTTATTGTCATGTGCCCGAGGCTACTCTAAAAGGGGAAATGCCGAGGGAGCTTGGGAAATTTTACCACGGTATTGACGGTAAACTTCCTTTAAACCATTATCTTTTGTCACATTCTGTAGCACACTGAAAAATAGCCTAGACTGTCTGTTTTGTGGAAATGGAGCACAACGCAATTATCAGAGAAAAATGGCCTTGACAGAATATTAATGA